TACGATAATACCCAGGAACGCAGTGGAGCCAAACAAATCCCCACCCACCGTGATCGGAGGCTATCTGGGCTCATGACACCTCTAGGTTTGTATCGCTCGGATCAAGCACTACCATTGGGAAATTAGGACGTACATATGGTCTTATTGACCTGGGTAGGGCTTAACGCCGGAGAATGCCGCAATGACCATGGCCTTGGTCATGGCCAAGGCCAAGTAAACTCCATACAACCTCTCCCTCCCTCTTTCCCTATGCATGAACGTAAAAAGAAAAAAAAGAAAAAATAATAATAATGAAAGAAAAAGCAAGGAATAGGGGGACCCCCACCTAGGCGATTCGCCCGTACATACTCGTACAGTCGTACTCATTCAAGTTCGTGCTGATACTTTCTGATAGAGGCGTGCAACCGTGGTTCCCGGATTCCCCCTCTCTCTTTACCTAAGGACATTCAACATTGGCGCCTATCATACGACTGCAAGTAATTATAGTATCAGAACTCCATCGTAAGCATCGCAAAGGGGAAAAGGGGGAAAGAGCTGGGAAATCGTTGCACTCCATTGGTCATCTCCCCGACCGACCCCCGACCATGCCCCGTTCTCTACCCTAGGGTATCCCCTCCCCCCCCCCCATCTCTTTCGCTGTCCGGTTTGAACTCTCCAGGTTCTCATGACCATTCGTAAGGGTCATTCCATACTCCGTATAATTACGAGAGGGTGTCTGCGTCTCATCCCCTTCCCGGCCCAACAATCGCCCATCGGCGGAGCATCGGCGGCTCTCCGGGACTTTTGACTTTTTTTACGCCATTCACAGGACAGGGCAGCCTCGTGAAAATAAACGAAAAGTGGATCCGGTCATGACCAAGGCCCAGCACACCTTCGATGGCCCTGTTTACCCTCAGATAGGAAGAAAACGGGGTGCAGAACAATGCAAGGCTCCCACCGCGGAAAAAGGCAAATTCAAAAAATTCAAAAGGGCCAGCTGCTCTGTTTCGCCCATTCCCTTTTCTGATTGGTCCTTAACACATACTGGAGAAATTTACCCACCAAGCCGTGCAGGTCGGACTTGGTTCATCCACTACGTACCGGTGAAGAAAACGAAAGCAACAGAACGACGCAGAAACAGCCGCCCCCAAACGATCCAGCTTAAAAAAAAGGGGGGAGGGGAGGAGGAACGGGGATCGGAATCATTTCGACCGATTGCCTCATGCATGACGGTAAATCCGAATTTGCCATATTTGCCATGGAATTTGAATTGTACATCGTACTCCGTACCCGTAAATGCCTCATGGCCTCAGACCCAACCCGCTTTTTATTTTTATTTTAAAATTCCCTTGCAATCAGTCATGGTCGGCAATCTGGCAAACGTGCCTCGAGAGTCTCCGCTATCGCGGCCGCGACCAGTGGGCCAGTCCGCGGAGAGCGCCGTGCCAGCGTGATTGAGGGCCCATACGGGATATCCGGACGCTGTTCCGGGATGATCGATATCAAATCCATATGGCGACCCGGTCATTGGACGCCGCAGCCGCATCGGTCTCCAGCACGCGGGTTGCGTCCAGCGTGGCCTCACTTTGAATCCCCAGTTTTCATTTTCATGTTCGGCGTGTCTGTATGCACTGTACGAGTATCTCTGGACGGAGCACGGAGAACAGCACACTGGCCGGACCTGTGCTCCTGTACTGAGTACGACTCTAGGTACGAGTATGAATAAGGGAAGGCGGAGGACTCTGGACCGGTTTGTTTCTACTCCATCTGTCAACTTATGCGGCTGTTTACCCAAAGAGCTTGGCATTCAGTGTGAAGAGCGGAGTACGAAGTACCTCACTCTCTGTTCTTAGGGGGGTCCCCATGTAATTTGCTTTTCCCCTTATGTATGAACTCCGGGTGTACTTCCATATTATGTACATACATTCCTGTAGGTCAACAAACCCCCTGCATCTTAACGGTCACCGTTAGTAGTAGAGGCGCTTTCCGCGGCTGTGGCTTCGTCCGGTGCATAGAACAGAGTTTCATTAGTGAGTAGTGCTTGCAATGATCCCACTCATGAATCTACGACTAGTGCTCCGAGCTCCGTACATAAATATCTGTGGCGAACAAGAACGGATGGATCAAATCGTGCCACGGCTATTCTCCGGAGAAAACGGCCAGAGTCCGCGATCCGCTGTCCAGCTGCACTGGACACAAGCTGGGACAAGCTGGGACAAGCTAACAACAGCACGTTCGCGTTCCCCAGAACGCCGCTGCTCTGCTCTGCCCTGGGCTGGGATGGGCTACCACTAGCGTATGTAGCTCCGTTTACCGTACTCCGTACAAGCTGCCCAGCCCAGCCCAGCCCAGCCCACGCACTGCACCAACGATGATCCCCAGCCAGGAGGAGCTGTCAAGTCAAGCTCGGGTACCTTGCCCACACACCTCTTGCCGAAGGAGATTGCCCACGCCCCGTGCTCAGGGAAAGGTGCGAACCCACTTGGTGCACTTGGAACACCTGCTTCTTTTCCCACTCCACCCGCCACTCGCACTGGCCAAGTGCGGGTGGAGTGGGAAAATAGGATGCTACACCGTACACGGTAAGTCTTACCCGCCCATCCTTCGGCAGATCGAATTAGGCCTCAGAGGAAATGGTCGACCGTGCGCTACCTGCATCCCAGATGCTGATCAAGTTCAAATATTCCGGGCCTTTTACCTGTTTGGCCCTGTTCAGACCTAAATCTGGATCCCCAGCGACGCGGCGATGGGACCGATCTGGTTTATCCTCGGCTTCGGCTAAGGTGAAGACGAAAAGCCGGGAATGGGGGTGAAATGAAATGCTAGTACGAGTAGACGTAGTAGCATATGTACTCCGTACTCGTATGCCACCTGTCGGAGGACGGAGTCAAGGAATGGGAAATAAGAATTAGGGGGGGAAGCCCGGAGTGGGGATGGGGCAAGATTGGACTTCCCTGTTAACGCATTTCGCACATGCTGACCAAATCAAAGTCAGGACGAGGACGGCCACTAGGTCAGTCTAGTCAAGGATGCGAATTCCGAGACAGGGGGTCAGCAGAGTCAAGTGCTTTTTCTTTTCGTACGGGTTTACAAGTTATGTACAGAGTATCCGTACCAGGTACTTTGTTGACAGGGATCCTGATGAACAATAAATCAAGATTAATATTTAATATCTGAACGAATACGGCGGGATCAACTTGATTGAAAAGATACAACAAACCAAGTTATAACCCTGGTCGAAAACTACGCCTGGAAAGTCAATGTCTACCATCCAGAGCACGCGGTTGGTGGAGTCTCACCTAGCTGGATTTCCATCTGAATGTTTAATGTCCGCGTTCCCACTGTGGCTGCGAACTGGCAAACGCAATTGGACTTATCCTGGAGGGAAGCCAAAAACAAAACAAAACAAAACAAAAAGATAAATTACCCAGCCCAGCTCTACTGGTAGCGACGGGGGGGAAGAGGTTACATTTTCCATGCATATTCTTCGTCCGCTCCGCGCAGCTGGCAAGAGGCAGCCCGCGCGCGGCCAGTAGGTGCATTGCATGACAGGGGCCGTGTCCAGTTAGCGCATCCTGGACGCGGGGTTCCGGCTGGACGGCTTGCCAAAGTCGACATTACCGGGATTAGGATACGTAGGCCACGTTATTTTCCTTGTGCTTGGTATTCAGGATTTGTAGATAGCAAGATTGGAATATGCAACACTGGTACCCCCCTGTGTCATAGAAAGGCCGCCAAGGAATCTTTCTCTCTCGATGGCTGGAAAACCGGGCTGCACCTTGCTCTCTTAGGAACCATCGCCTGTACCGAGCTGCAGATCCAGAGAAGCTTTGGGGCCGATGCATGCATGTCTTTCCCCCTCGGCAATCAGCGCGTGGTGCTTCACTGGGTGGAAATAACCGGTCCCAATTTTGGGATTGGCATCATTGCTGCAGCTCGTCTGGAATTGGCATTTGTTCAAGTTGGTAATCTTCCAAGGTTGCGGCCCGATCGTCGAATATATGCGCTGGCAGAGAAAGTGTTTTGGTATTTTCGTCGTTTTGCCTTTGTGCCACGTCTTCCGCAAGCGATTACATATTGGAGAGATAAATGTACATATGCATGCATACCATCGCGTCGACCGGTAATGTACTCGGCAAAATTACGATCCCAACTAAACAATTGCCCAGTCTAAGCTAGCTGTGTCGGGTCTGGGCTGGCAGATAAACGAGCAACCGGATCAACTCTTTATGGAGAATCTGATTTGGCACCTCCATGATCAACATCTGAGGCTGCTTCTGGGTTAGTGAGAAGTACATAGACAATCTGTCGTGGAACCAGAGTAAAGATACCACTAGCATCCGCACAGCCTCTCTGTGGACCATTTTAAGCATAAGCTTTGGCAGTTGGGGGTACAATCTAGAACCAGTCGTACTAGATTGAGCACTAGACTAGATTTGGTTCGTTATAGGCTCTAGTGATAGGAATCGTCGATGTACACCTTCCATTCTCATCGTTGGGGCGAGACTAACCACGCTGGGGATCAAAGCTATATGTCACGAACTGTAGCTCCAACCGCCACACTACAAGCAATGAGCACCCACATCAATTGATTCTGAACTATAACTAGTCCGCAGGCGTACTTTAGCCCGATGTTTCAGCCTTATGGGGGAATCGGAGATTTTGCATCGCATTGCATCAACGTCTCCATGTCGATCACGACTGTGAGGCTCCAGGCTTCGCATGTTGAATGAGTATAAGAGCATTCCGTCAACTATGTATAGACTAGCCTTTGAAATGTCGCATCCAATTCTCAGTTTGACGGAGAAATATAATCCGGCTCTAGTCAAAATTTCCCCGGATCTGATCGCTTGCGGGGTACTGGATATATTTCCCATACGGACACCACTGGTGGCAGTGACATCCATGGATATAAATCATCCCAGTGACAAAAGTGATCTGAACAATTATTCAACTACCTAGGAAGTAGCTGTCAACTTGAAAACGCTATCCTTCAATTCAAAATTTGCCGAGCCGAAGAAATGCAGTTACCATTCGTATTATCTTCCTTGTTGCTTCTCACCTCCGTCCGAGCCGTAGATGCATCACCAACTACGAAATCAACAGACAAATTCCAATGGTCGTCCAAAAAAGGCTTGTAAGTGAAATAAATTTATATTTCTAAATTATTACTGAATGGAAATCTGACATCTACTTCAGGATTGCATTTGGAGATTCATATACCTACGTCCAAGGAACTCACGGGCACCAAAACTACAGCTTCATTGGAGATGCTTTCGATTTTGCCTTCGACGAGCAGACTCTACTCTCCAATAAGATCGTACAAAATCAAGTAATGCTCTCCTCTAATATTGAACCATTCTTCCATGCCCCAATTTGACTAATATATACTTATTTTCAATTAGACAGCAACAGCCGAAGGAGGCCCAAATTGGGTAGAATATCTCACAGACTGCGGCGTCAAACCAGGCCTAACCTCACCCCGAACCTGCAAAAAGCAACTATGGGATTTTGCATTCGCAGGTTCTGACATTTCCACCCATTAGTTCGTACCCAACCTGTCGGCCCTTCATGTTCGAACCCAAGCTCTCGAGAGGTACTAGTACTACTACTAGTACCTACTAGGTAGGACTAATACTAACATCAAAATCACCACCAGCACCCCCCTCCACCACAACTTCACCGTCTCACTCGTCAACCAAACCCACCAATTCAAACAATTCGCCCACACCCCCCCTAACCAAATTCCTCCAACCAAGAGACTCCCTAATAGCAATTTGGATCGGCATAAACGACATAAACGACAGTTCAAAATACACCGTCGACTTCCCAACCTTCTACAAATCACTCACATCTACCCTCTTCACCTCCGTAACCGACCTATACAATCTAGGCTACAGATCATTTCTCTTCATGAACCTTCCCCCGCTAGACCAAACACCAGGAAACCAAGTCTCCGGCTCGCCGCACCCGAATGCAACGCAGGTGGGATGGTATAATACCGCGCTTTCTGAACAAGCGCGTCAATTCGCGCGTGGAAGAACAGATGCTGAGGTTAGGGTCTTTGATGCTCATGCTCATTTGAGTGGGATTTTGGATCATCCTGCGAGGTATGGGATTGTTAATACGACGAATTTTTGTGCTGGGTATGATCAGCCTGATATTGGGGATAATTATTTGAGTTATGGGTGTCCTACGTCGTTGGATACGTATTTTTGGTTTAATTCTGGACATATGACTAGTCATGTGCATCGGATTCTGGCGGAGCAGTTGCAGGAATGGTTACGGGGTTAGTTGGTGCGTCTAGGAGGAACTTGAATGTACGGCTTCGAATATAGGGTTCCAAGGTTGAACATTGGTAAATGCACTGGTATCTACTGGCTGACACTACGCTTTACCGATGGAGAAATAGTTCAATGATCAACTTTTCAATTATGAACATACACACTTGAGACTGGTTTGTTGATCAGGTGAAGCGACATTGCGCTGAAATCCAGAACATAGAAAAACTTTTGCGAATAATCAACATGTATGATTTGGCCACGTGAACCCAAGCTCTAGGATTTGGGGAATAGGTGGGAACGAAGACCCGGGAGTGCGGAACTCATCGCCAGATATTCATGTAACCGATTAAAAAAAATCATGTAAGACTGTCTATGACATCGAAAGTAACGCCGTCCGTACCGAATTACGCGAGAACCGAAGTGAAGCAAAATGAAAAGGGAGTCTACCAGTAACACAGAGCAGGGCGAGCTCGAGGGATTGCTCGGGGAAGGGCGCGTTTACCAACGACGGTTACCACCAAGACCGCTGTTGTTGGAGCCGGTCACACCGCCGCCGCCACCACGGCCCCAGCCACCACGGCCACGACCACGGCCACCCCAGCGGCCACCACCGCCGCCGCCACCGCTGTAGCGGACCATCTCAGCAAGGCGAGGATCGATCTGTTGCTTGGCCTCAGAAAGAATGGTGACCAAGTCACGAGCCTGCTTGGAGTCTGTAGAGAGATGATGGTTAGATATCACGTGGACAAGGGAACAATCAAAGGGAAATGAAACATACTGTCAGTGGTGAAGAACGTGATGGCGGTACCCTTAGCACCGGCACGACCAGTACGACCGATACGGTGAACGTAGTCCTCGGAGTTGTTGGGGTAGTCATAGTTCAACACGTGAGTAATGTCGCGAACATCTTGAATACGGTTTCGTTAGCAAACAGATCATTAGTGGGGTAATAATATGGTGATGGCCATAGAGGGCCCCTTCTCAGTCGTGTAGGACTGGATACATAACTGCTCTCTTCAGGGCGTTTTCCAAAAGAAGAAATCCAAAAGAAGAAACCCCGAGCAAAAGGAAGCGAGTCCATGAGGTGACGGTAATCGTGGTCCTAGAGTAACCTTGGAAATAAATGCAGCTTGAACAGACCAGGAACAACGGTTGAGATACGAAAACTCCAACTCTCTTACGAGTTGCTGCCACAAAGGAGTCGGAGAAATCCTGTCAGGAACTGCTGTCTGCTACGCTGCACTGTGAGTCCAAGGTCCTCCTGGTATGGTAACCATTTAAGATGACCTGAAAGTCCGCCTGGACGAGTCGTGTTTAAACCAACACACTTCAAGAGAGTTGAGCACCGTGCCATTTGCGTCGTACAAGATCACACAGGTGAGTTTTTCAAGGGCTCCTCAAGGGGGGAGATGGGGGAGTTTGAGGGAGGGGGGAAGGGGTTGTAGTTTGTTCATACCGATACCACGGGAAGCCACATCGGTGGCCACCATGATGGGGCTCTTGCCCTGCTTGAACTCGTTCAAGACCCAGTCACGCTCCTGTTGTTGCTTGTCACCGTGGATGGCTAGAGGGAAGAGGAGGTTAGCAAATGTCGTCAAGAAAAGCAGGAGTCGGGGCTTGGAACTTACAAAGCGCGGGCCATCCATCTTGACGGAGGAAACGAGTGATCTCGTCGGCGATACGCTTGGTACCAGTGAAGATGAGAATCTTGTTAGAGCGGTCCTCCATGATCTTCTCCATATGCTTGATCATGCGGTCACGCTTCTCAAAGTCGGACATAACTTCGACAATCTGGGTGATACGGTGGTTGGCGGAAAGATCCAGCGAACCAATGTTGACCTGGATGTAGTCGTTCAGGAAGTCAGAAGCGAGCTGACGGACCTCCTTAGGCCAGGTGGCGGACCACATGCAAGTTTGACGGTCAGGGCGAATCTGGCCAATGATCTTGCGAATTTGAGGCTCGAAACCCATGTCCAGCATGCGATCAGCCTCATCGAGAACCAGGTAGGTAACACGACGCAGGTTGGTACGGCCAGCCTCCAGCATGTCGATAAGACGACCGGGAGTGGCAATGCAAACCTCGACACCACGGGACAGATCACGGATCTGAGGACCCTTGGGGACACCACCGTAAACACAGGTGTTGCGAATGCGGGAGGACTTTCCGAACTTGGTGATCTCAGCCTGAATCTGGACAGCCAGCTCACGAGTGGGAGCCAGGACCAGGACGATGGGACCATCGCCAGGAGACAGCAGGGGCTGAGCGTTGATGTGAACAATAGCGGGAAGACAGTAGGTCAGAGTCTTTCCGGAACCAGTCTCGGCAATACCGACAACATCACGTCCAGAGAGGGACATGGGCCAACCCTGGGACTGGATGGAGGTGGGCTTATCGAAGCCCTGGGCCTTGACCTCGGACAAAACGTAGGAAGGGAAGCCAGCCTCATCGAAGGTCTCGACGGGGCGAGGGACACCAGTACCCTGAATAGCCATCTTGTTTGCCGCGCGGAACTCCTGCACCTGCTCTTCCGAGCGGTTGGTGACATCCTCGTGCTCCTTGTAGAAAGACTTCTCGAACTTGGGCATGGTGCTGAGGTCTAGACGATTGTTAGTATTCTTGCGGTCGGACAAGGAGAATATCCCATGGAAGTTTTCAGCACTTACCCCATTCTTGCTGCTTGAGACCCTGGCCGAGGTTTGACATGCGGTCACCACCAGCACCTCCAAAGCCACCGCCGCCGCCGCCGTAGCCACCACCACCGCCGCCGTAACCACCGCGACCACCACCACCTCCGTAGCCACCACCGCCGGAGTAGCCATTGGAGCCGCCGTTCTCATAACCACCACCACCGTTGCGGGAGCTGGAGACACCGTTAGCAAAAGGTCACAGATCATGGGAAAAAGTGCGCGAGTGCATCGACCGGCAGACGTGGCCGGAGGTACCTGATCTCGATCCAGGCACCAGTCTAGGCTGGATGAGTTGAGAGGTCACTCTCACAGCCAGATGCGCCTAAGAAGAGGGATGCACACGCCATGTTGCCGACGAAAACGCGACAAAGGACAGAGGACAAAGGGGGTTGATCCCGGAGGATAAGAGACTTACCGGTAAGAATCGCCGCCGCGAGAATAGCCACCGCCGCCGTAAGACATGATGGAAACTGTGTTGTTTTTGTTGATGGGGATGAAGTGAGTGAGATATAAAGGGGGATGAGAGGGGGAGGAGAGAAAAGAGAGAACTGGGGAGGTTGTTGACAAGGATGAGTTCGCTGAGAACTTGAGGAAGGAATAAGAAAAAAACGCCAGGGGAGGAAGGAGGCAAAAAAAAAAAGTTTCCATATCGGGGATAGCGTGCCACGTGACTCTGCCTGGCCGGGTTCCGCGGTTTCGAACAAAGAAATTTTGTTAGAGTTTGATGGTGGCGGTGGGCAGTGGTACTCCAGGTACTACACTTGACTGAACTGAATGGCAATTCTCATATATTTGTTAACTATGCCTTGGTTTTAATGAATTATCTGTATCACAATGCCTTCTTTCACCCTATTTCACCTATTTCACAAACACTCTGGTATCACACCTTCTGGTCGCTTAACCCCATATCCCAGAAGCGGATCTCCAGCTCCGTAGCCCGCATAAAGATCTGGATTAATTCCTCCATACGACTGGGCGATACCTTTTGCATATGTTTCTCCAGTAGTTCTACCGAAATGAGAATTAGTTCAGCACCCGGCAAGGGAGGCCATAGTTGACTTACCGGATCCCAGGCGAACGGCTTCCGTATAGTCCTCGGCAACATAGTTCTCAATCCATTTCCAGTATTGGTTCCCCTTCCGAAGAGTACCGTTTTCAGAATGAAGTCGTCTGGCGATGGCACCGTATCCGATCAAACAAGGTGCCAATGCCATCTGTAGCGCGAGCCAATCCTCGGATTGTCCCACGTCGAGTATATACCGGCTGTATGCAGTGCACGCTATTCCGGTATGATCGAGTCAGATATTGCATGGAAACGAGAGAATTGAAACTTGAACCCAACTAAGGTTGGGTCAAAGAACGATAAAACTGACCGATGGTTTCCGAGTGAGCCTCTATCTCTTCCTTGGATAGACCAAAAGATGCACAGTAGTCCAGATGCAGTGCCATTTCTCGCTGAATGTGTAGTACAATTTGGGCCGACTAAGCTTTGAGTCAGGCATGATGCAATAGGAAATGTAGATCGATACTTACCGCCGCTATCGAGTCCATCGTCTTTGCTTTGTAAGAGGCAAGTGCGTTGCTTCGGGCGAATTGAACCTGGAAGTGTTTAATACTTTGTGCCGGAAGTGTTGGAGAAGTGGGAGTGTCGCAAATGAACTCACCAGGTATAGATAATCCTGCACGAGATACTCCTTGAATCGATCTAATGGAAGCGTACCCTGGCCCAGGCCTTCAACAAACTCATGATGGGTAAACTTTTGCCAGACTGGCTGAACATCCGGGCGATCCAGAACGTATTCGATGAATCGACCGCTGCATATCGTTCCGATTAGCGCATGCATATATATCAAAAACAAAGCGAGAGGACAACATACGGCGCAAAAGGCATCGTGTACATCGAGTGGAAGTGGTTAATGGGCCCACTCCCTTGCCAAGATCAGTACTCGTTTTAATACCTACCTCAACGAACCGAACGGCGTTGCGAACCGCTCGGATCATGTCCTTCCTTTGGGCCAGGTTTGCCGCGATTGCCGATGCCAATGAGCAGCCAGTACCATGGGTATTCTTAGAAACCAAGAATTCCGTCTCGAACAAAGTTGTGGTGTCTCCATCAACAAGAATATCAACCACAATGGTTCCATCTTGTGGGTTTTGGGCCGTTTTGTGGTCCTTCGTTAGAGGGAGGTGACCACCCTTCAGTAGTACAGCTTTGGGGCCCAGCGAGCGTATTTGTTTAGCAAGCGAGATCATTCCAGCTAAATCTGTAGGTTCCGGAGCTTCATCACCGGCGTCCTTGATAAGAAGCTGAGCCTCCGGAATATTGGGGGTCAGGACGGTCGTGAGAGGGAGAAGCTTTGTTCGGAGTTCTTTGACAGCCTTTTCCGGTAGCAACTGTGATCCGCTTGTGGAAATCATTACCTATACGATTATGAGCACGAGAAAGGTAGATAAGCCGGGCAGAGTGTCTGTTACCGGATCAAGGACAATTGGGGGAAGCTTGTGGGCTTGCAATGTTTCTGCGATGACATCAATCGTCTCGGCGGACGATAGCATTCCTGCTCACGGTCAGCAGAGGTTCTGGGTAGGGTCACAAACTGTTTGAAAAAAGGACACACCCAACTTGACTACATCGGTGCCGACATCCTCAAGGCCAGCATTGATTTGCTTTCGAACAAATTCAGCGGGGACTACAAAGATGTCCTGCACGCCGAGGGTGTTTTGTGCAGTGAGTCCGGTTGTAGCCGTGAGGGCATAGACACCGTGAGCTGCCAGAACTCTCTGGTCAGCCTCAAGACCGCTGTTGACTGAATTAGCTTCAAAGATTCACATATTGAGCCATTGATCCGGCAGTATCAATGCGATGCGTCAACGAGGGTAGCAGCAGGCATGCCGTTTACCGGTGGAGGGGTACAGAACGAGATTGACTTACGCGCCACCTGAACTGTCGGACCCTGCGATCACAAGAACCCGTTTGACAGACATGATTCAAGCCAATTGAATTGCCAGGATGCGATGGAGGGAAAGTTGGAAAAGCCGCCGCAATGAGGGTGGGGGAGGTGAAGTGCGATAACCGATAACACGATTTGCTTCTCTCCAGTTGGTTCCTCCATTGGACGGTGGGTCGGGGTGCAGCATAGAGCCACTTTGAGTGCCATCTTCATTGAATTTGTTTAAATTCTCTTTTATTTTTGAACTTTGGATTTGAAAGTATCCACATTAGCTGCTTTAAAAAAATTCAAGTCAGTCAGTACCGCTCAAGCCTTGACCGTTACTGTTTAGCACCACACATCGCAACCATTAAAAGCCTGGAGATGAAACTTGAATTTTAGATTGTGTTAAGATCTGCTTATGGCACATTTCTATCTACTTTGAATATCTGGAACGTTGAAAAAAGCCACTTGAACAGTGATATCATCCCGAATGTGGCGGGAGAAAGGGGCGCCAAATGCCAGACGACTAGCGATCAACTCATGATGATTTCCTCCAAGGGAATTGCGTACAAGATGAACCGCAGCATTCTCATCTTGCACAGTTGTTCTCTCCTCCATGAACTTCCAATTCATTCCTTCCAAAATTGCCCAAAGTCGAATGGTTCGTAGGTCGGTTCCAATTCCATTCCTTTCTCTGATGGCTCGAGCCACTTTCCCACCAGGTCGACCGCTTGTTGATTCGAAAGCATATCCCACAAGCCATCCGAAGCCATAATAAGGAACGAAGGCCTGGTCGGGTCGATCTTCGTCGATGTAATGACCGGTTCTGCGGTCAGATACGGCGGTGTTCGCACGTCGTATCTAGGCGTCAAGGGCGAGGGCCCGTTGAAGTTTTGTTTCATTTCTTTCTGAAATTCCAGGGACCATTTCCACCGGCTATCGCCGAATGCCCGGGAGACCGCCAATCCAAGTACACGGCCGTTCTTGACCATTTCCTCTTCCCCCGGATGCTCTTTTTGCAACCTTTCAACCTCCCCCATGTTATAGCCTGTTTGATCGATGGACAACGGAATTGCCTCCCACTTTCCATCTGGACCCTTTTGTCCTAGAACTGCCCTGGAATCACCGGTGCAGGCCACGTGTAATTTGCTTGAGACAGGATCATAGAGAGACAAGAGCGCGCAGGAGCCGGCATAGGCAGGAGCCAGCAGCTTCACCTTTTCGTGCAGTGGGATTTTGCTTCGTGTCAATTCAGCAGCGTCGTCAATGATTGCTTTGTCGAGATCCATGAACCCCTTCGTGATAGCATTATGGATCGATTCTTCGGCCACGGAGTCGTTGCTTGGGAGAGACTTCATTTGACCAAGACTGTGCGCCAAGAAAGGCACCAGCTGCTTCTCCAATAGATCGGCTGTCTGTGACCCGGCATGTCCATCGAATACGGCCCATGTCATCCATTGACTGCCATCGTTCCGAGGGGATGGGAGTTTACCATGGAGAAATTTATCCTCACAGGGGCTGTTGGAAGCCAATTGCGTACCATAGTATCGATCGACACCGGAAACATTATCGACTCTGTGAGAATATGCCCCCTCCGAGACAATTTGGGTGACTTCATCTTTAGATGGACCTGGTGGAAGGTTCAATTGAGTTGTTGGGGAACCTTCAAAGCGTGGAACATCATCCCGCGTTGTTGTCAACCACCAAAGGCCCGGAGAACTGATAAACCCAAAAAGAGCGATATTTCTTCTGAAATTGGAAGATGGTACTTTTGTTGAATAGGGATGACTCGCATGTGCTCGTGGGATTCCGCGACTTAAACGCGCTCGAATCACGCGAGAGAATTGAAACATTGCTGCTCAAAGCAACGAAGAAGATGCGGATAGGAACCCAGGATGAAAGAGTTTCAGTGAGTCTGAGCTAAATATGACAGGAACATGGAATATCTCCCAATCTGACCTTCGGTAAGGACAGTTGCAGCTCGAGCTGAACCTCGGAAGAGCATCTCCCTTGCGTTATATATGCTTAGTCATCATACAAACAGGCCGGATGTTAAATCCAAAAGGAGTTCGGACGTGGCTGATTTGTTGACTTGGAAGGTTTAGAGAAAAAAAAAGAAAAAAAAAAGCAAATATAAGTTTGCATGAATGCTGCAAGGCCTGGAGATAGGATCGATCAGTGGGACCAGATCAGATGTCTGTCATTACCTTTTTTTTACAGGGGTCCGAACTCCGCTAACCTTTGCCTAGATTAGCCTAATCCCTGGCTGGTTATTTTATGTAGTACAAACTGTCGCCATGAAAGACATCTTCAAGTTCCATATAACTACTACCTAGGTTTCCAAGTCTCTCTGCGGTTACTAACTGGTAGTTACTACTAATTATATAACATTGACCCGGAGATATACCGAATTCGTTGCAACTAGGAGTCAAAAAGTAAACCTCCTTCAACACACTAGTAACATAGTGCTACCAACAATAGATGGGTCTTTCTATTCTAAGAGGTATTACGTCTCGAATGGTAAAAACT